ATTTATCATATGTAATCCTGAGGAAAAAGATATATGTAAGATAGTTTCTGTATACCAAGGGATGTTTATAGGGGTAGGCTCTGAATTGTTTGTTCATTATGACCCTTTTATAAAATATAAAATACAATTGATGTTTGCCTTTAATTGGATAGAGTCAGTAAAATTTAATTGGCTAGCATCAAACTGCCTCTTTTCACCTAATTTATATCCCCACTAGATCTGATGAAAGATCCTCACTTTTATTTAAGTCTACTTTTACCAAATTGAATATAAGGTGATCATGAAGATAAGGTCAACTGGTATACATCGTCATTCATCTACCTCATTCTCTCCATCTACAGTGTGTTTTCCGAAGTGTGGTACTCTAAGCAGCTTTACAAGCATAACTTGGGAACTTGTTAGAAATGCACATTTTGAGGCCCAAACCAGACATTTTAAATCAAAATGTCTGAGTGGGGTCCACCAATCAATGTTTAATAAGACCACTAGGAGATTCTGCTCAACACTAAAGTTTGATAACGACTGCTCTAATCATATCCCACTTTGATAGCTGAACAATGTTACTATACCTAATAATGGTGTTTCAAAGATAGTCTTTGTTATTTAAGATTATTTAACCAGTAGAGGTGATTGCAGTTATTGTTAGGAAATTTTAGTAAATCTACATAGTCAAGTAACAATCATGTAAATAATAATAGGCAAATTATTCCCTGTTAATAAAAGTATGGCCATAAAAATAAGTAAAAGATCTATATTAAGTGATTTTTCAGTCACCATGCATATATAAGGAATTTCTGCACAATTAAAGTCAGCTATTATATGTCCTGTGCATATTTAAATATCATTCACTGCCTATTAGCAATAACATTTTTTTAAAGTCATTTTTTCCTGTGAAGTTAAAAATGGGCCTGAATTTAATTGACAAGTTCCCCAGGCCAATAGAGTTATTGTTTATGACACTCTGTTTTGGAACTTGAACAGCCTTTGAAGCATCTTTTGGAATTTAATGTTATCTTGAAAGGTAAAAAGAAAAAGACCACAATAAGTGGTTTTCTATAAGAAGCTGGAACTTTCATAGTTCATAAAGCATTTAGAAGTAAAGATAAAATGTCTTATTTAAAGATAATAGTTAAATCCAATTAAACTTCATTATTTTGGAGTCTATTGGTTCAGAAATAGTTATATAGGAAGCAGGAATATAAATTTCTAGTATTGTTCAAGGGAGAAAAGGGAATTTGATAATCAAGTTAAAATGTATAAAAACGTGAGAAACAACTTGAAGCTAAGTAAGAGAAAATGGTTTCAGACTTTTAATGGCATCCTTTTTGCTCTTGATAATGGATGCTTGTTACCTACTCATTAACAGACACAGATAACCTTCATTTATCTGTCATACTAGTACATATTGAAAGGATAAAGCTACATTTCTTAAAACTAATCTTCTGTCTGGATTATCTAATTTTAATTATTAAAATTAAGTTATTAATTTAAACAGATTGTTTTCCTTGTTTTATTCTAAATTAAGTTATTCTCTTATTCTTTGCCTTCTAGTTGTGCCTCCCCATTTATAGTTCGTAAATGTTTTCACCCAGTTCTTGCCCTCCCATCGATCTATTAATCCCTACTTTACTTGGCTGCTTGTTCCTTGTGGATCCCACTATTTCAGTATTCTGCTCCCTGACCTCCCACTTGCCAGTATTCTTACAGTGTTCTTACATAGGTTCTTGCTGTCCATTCTCTTTCCTGTCATCTTTGTTACTCAACCACTGTTTCCAGGTTTGGCTGCTGGATTTTTCTATTATTCCTGTTCTCTAACTGGTATGTTCAAAACTGCAAGAATATAAGGAAAATTGGAAAGTAGATGCATAAAGAGAATTCACATGCATTGAATACCTACTCAATGTTAGGTGATTTACTTACATAATTTAGTTCTCAAAAGATGTAGGTATGTTTTATTATTACCTTAATTTTATTCATAAGTACACGGCCCAGTGAGGTTAAATATTTTGGTCTAATTTACAGAGCAACTAAGTGATAAATCTAGGTTTCAAACCTATTTGGTTCATTTATTCATTCTTTTATTCAACAGATATTTGTTAATATGCATACTATATGTTTGGCATTGTGCTTCATGCTGCAACAGATCCATCCTTTACCCTCAAGGACCTTAACTGTGTAGTGGCATTGCCTGACTGCACAGATGGTATCTTTCTGTCTGCTACCAGACAGCTTAAGAGAAAGAAAAAATAAAAAGGAAATAGAAGAGTTTTGATGTTTTATGGAAACTATATATTGAATATAGATGTAGAAAGACTATATTTGTGTTATTTAGGAATACCCTATCAGAAAAGGTTGGTTTGTGTTTAGTCCTGCAGAGAGCCTGACAACCTCCCCCTTAACTACCACTGTAGTCACCAGTGCCTTTTAGTTGTATCACTACAATGTATATTTTCCTTTTGTGTCTAAAATATGTAAGATTGGTGTCTAAAGGCCCAATTTCTCTAAGAAGTCTTGAGAAGGAATTACCTGTCCTCCCTACATGTTTGGAAGAGGATGAAGACCCCTGTATAAAGAATGCATTCATTCACTCATCTATCCATCCATCCATCCACCGTCTATAAATTTTTTAATACTAAGATGATTTACTCAACACATCAGAACTCTTAATAAGATAAATATGGCAAAATAGGGCAAAGATAAATAAGGTAAAATTAGTTTAGGTTCGGTAAGCCAACTAAAAAGGTATCCACAAATTTGTCTCTCTTCTTAAGAGTAACTTGGTTCATAAGCATCATAATTTAAAAAATCAAATTATTAGCACAGGAAAGTACCCATTTCTAGTTATGACACTTAAGAGGAAATTTCTCCTAAGGGTCCTCCTAAAGAGGACTACAGTGCAATGTGGTGAACAACGGCCTTAAATACTTCCTACAGTAAAAATGAGTTTCACTGAGCCATTTCACTGATCCAGTGCATATCACAAAAGCAAGTCCAGTAAAACAATTCTTTGAAACGTGAAATGAGGCAGCCCAGGTAGATCATTGTGGTCTGGCCAAATCCAATGGCATATTTTAGGAGACCTGGAAAAATTAATGAATTGCATCTCTTTGGCATAATTCTGATATGTAGTTTTTCAATTGAGTTTTTTCTGTACTAAGTGACAGTGAGTTTATACATTCTTAAAAGTTTGTTTTATTCCTACTGCAACATCAATGCCTAGAATACTATCTACTACATAGTAAGTACTTAATAAATATTTGTTGTATGGAGGATATATGTTGTGCTTTGAAGTATCTGTTTAAGTGAAAGACTTCCTCTCAGCTATCTTGATAGTTTCTTTCTTTGTCCTTAAAGTGTGCTGCTGTACTTTGGAATACATAACCTTTATGTGCACCCCCAAATCCATTAAATATCAACCACTGCTTATGTGACTTTTCAAGCAGATAATGAAATATATATAAACCCTATCCAAAGAGCTCTTTTAAGATTATTGTCTGTTAAATGCCGTGCTTGATTTTTGGGGTTCTAAGATATTAAGGTCCCTAAGAAGAAGTTATAAACCTCAATAAAACAATGTATAACATCATACCTATTAGATTGAATATGGAAAAAGGGGGATAGATTCTGGGTAAAACTAGCTTAACTATTTTTAACTGTGTATTTAAATGAAAGTAAATAACTCCCAAATTTAGGAATTTCAGTGTTTCATTTTCTCCTGCCTCTGGCCCTCTATTTTTTATTGAAAAGCATTACAGTAGTATTAGTTTTCCTTTAAAATTTCTGCCATTGTTAAATATTGCATTATGCTGGATTCAGTGGACTGGTAGATTACATCAATTCTGGTACTCCTTTATTCTGTATGATTATAAGGAATTAACTAATTGCTATGCATCTTTAAAGTTTATTTATAACATCAACTGGCTTTTAACACATATGCAATGCATTTTAACTATTCTGCCATGTCCTTAACCTAAATTTTGCCTAGAGCTACAATTTTAGGACTATCATCTTACTTCTAATGAGTTATTGAGATATCAGTCTTTCCCTATATCCCTCCATATTTTATTTTTTATTTGTTTTGCCTTTCTTGTTCACTGGAATACTTTATTTTGCAAGCTTTATTCCTGTATTGCTCCCAATAATTGTAACTTGCTACATTTGTAGAAACAGACAATCAGAAATGGATTAATTCATGTATTTCATTCCCAACTTTCAGCCTAAAATACTACTTTACCATCATGGTATGATAAAGATATACCTATTTTTATTGACTTTTAAAAAATGAAATTTTCCTATCTCTTTCAATAACTTATCCCAAGTTTAACCCTATCTTATTCCAAGTTTAACCCTATCTTTAACACTTTTCTTAAGAATGCACTATCTTAAAATTTCTATTATATAGTTAAAGTCTATCACCTCATTAATTCTTTTTTAAAGCAATCACATATTTAATTTTTATTGAAGAAATGGAAGATGGTAAATCTGTAATTTTTCTTGGGGAAAGCTGACTTGGTGATATCTTGAGTTCCTTTTAAGTGTATCATAAAAACATAGAGCTAGGAGAGATACAAGATGATTTCAGGTTTTCAGGGCCTAATTACTTCAAGAGTAACAAAGAACAATACCCAGATTTCCTGCCCTGCAAAAATCTGCCCAGATATCCTACCCTACAAAAGTCTATTGCATGTTAAAGCAATCTGAGGCTTCATTTTAAAATTTAGGTTACTAGGTGAGATGAAACATCTATTAAATACTTCTGAGTTGAAAGGGATATGAAAGGTCTGCTAATATCAAAATTCCCCAGATGTCCTGGTCCTCCACTTTTATTCAATAGTCCCAGGGAACTGAATCTTGGTGCCTTAAAAAAAATGTTTGGAGAACTTCAAAACATGGTTTATAGAAATCATGATTTATAAATATTTTTAAGTTAATTTTACTACTCTGCCTTCCTTCTTTTTTGGCTAATTTCACTCAGTTTGCTATTTAATCTTTAATTACAGGCCACAAAAGAAGTAATAGAACGGGAAGCGCCAGGGATGGCCCTGGCAATGCTGATGGGATCACTTAATGTTACACCTCTGGGCATGCTCTCTAGGTAAGAAAGTCACCAACATGTTGCAAAGAAAATTAATTCCATGCCACTAATCACTACAATAGACTAATAAACCTAAGAACCTTTAATCATAACACCTAAGTTTGCCCCCTTTTTCTAAGAGTTGAGAGTCTGAGTCTTCATATCATTCATGTCTAGTTAAATCTTGGCCATAGTTTCCTTCAAGTTCTTTTTTTCTACTTTTTAATTTTTTATATTATGTTTAAACTTTTAAAGATAATATATTACTGCTAAAAGTTGTCAGTTCTAACCCAGAGACAAATCCTGTTTATTAAAATAAACTGTAAAATTATTCTTTTGGTGATTATTTGTAATCATCAATTATATTCATTCACTGAGATTAAGTGCTAATTTAATAAAACTAAACAGTAGAGTTTTTTTAAAATAAGTTGTTCTCACCAGTTAGGAACTTCTATTCCAATTTTTAGGCATAATGATGTGTGGTCATGAAAAAAGCTCAATTAGAAATGTATTAATAAATTTGTATATTTAGCACTATGCCTTTGTAGACATAGATACTGACATCCATCCTCAATCTGGTGGTTTAGTTATTATTATTCTTTTAGCAATACTTAGATTAAAATTCCCTTTAATGAGAACAGTGTACATGATTTAAGTTAAAGACAAAAGTGTCAACTTACTGAGAATCTGTTTATATAATGCCCACTGATTAATAAACAGTTAATCTCAGAATGACCTAAAAATATATAGGAACTTTTTAACTGCAGTTTCACAATCATTATTTTAGCCATTTATTTATCCTTTGTGCAATGTGAATACAAAAGTAAATATATTCACTTAATGCACAGAATATGAGTAATAATGCCCTTTCTGTTACTAAGTTTATATCCCATTAGTGGCAAGCACAGCTACAGGAAAATGTGAAAGGGTCATTAGTTACTGTATTCTCTTTGCTACCACATGTACTATATTATAACATTTAACTTTAGTAAGAGATTAAAAAAAAGAAAGTAGTATTAGAGAGATATTAAATTTAAAAGGCCAAGCTGGTGTTTTTAAGAAGCTCACATTGATTCTTTTACACTGATCTTTTTTAACCATTTCTTATATTACCTTCATATATGAAGTCAAGGATCACATTGAGTCCCTTTTGTCAATGGAATTAAGTTGTGGTCTTTGAACATTAAAGAACTCTTTCTCAGCATATAAGGAATATACTCAATTAAACTTCATCTCATCTTAATTCTTTTATAATAAAAATGTAATTCAATTAACGTAATAATATTCTATTTTCCAGGCCCCATACTAACCATTAGGGATACTAAGAATAGAAAGAAAAATAAGGCATGTTCCTCACTTTGAGGATCCCACAGTTTATCTGGAGGATTATTCTTTGCAACTGTTAAGGTTACTTCAATATAGGTATCTTGATTCAATACAAAAATATCCCTTTTTGTCTACTGAAAGTTTTTCTGGATTAATTCCTCCTCCACCTTCTGAATCCACATAATTATTAAGCACTGGACTGCTGAGTGAGTGGAAAATTAATCAGCAGGAGCTGATTCTAAATACTTTGGTATAAGTCTATCTTCTTTATGCTGAAGGCTTTGAAAATTAAAGCACGTAAATAGCATGCTAACAGATTTTTCTGGCTTTTCTTTCTGTCATTGTCAACTGAGAGTTTATTTACAAATTTGAGATAGATATTTTCTATGAGGCTTTTCAAGGCCTTTTTGAAAGTTACTATTTTTAAAACAACCACAATTAGATTAATGTTTCCTTTATAGCATTTTTACCTGTATGTACTTTGGGCTTTATACATGCCTCTATTATAGCAAATGCTATATTGTAATTATTACTAACTTGTCTGTATTACCTAATTTGTATAAAATCCTTAAGAATAGGAGACTTATTTTCTATATTTTTTGTTGTTGTTATCATTAATCTACAATTACATGAAGAACATTATGTTTACTAGGCTCCCCCATTCACCAAATCCCCCCGACACACCCCATTACAGTCACTGTCCATCAGCATAGTAAGATGCTGTAGAATCACTACTTGTCTTCACTGTGTTGCACAGCCCTCCCCATGCCACCCCTATATTATACATGCTAATTGTAATGCCCCCTTTATTTTTCCCCGCCCTTATCCCTCCCTTCACCCCATCCTCCATAGTCCCTTTCCCTTTGGTAACTGTTAGTCCATTCTTGGGTTCTGGGATTCTGCTGCTGTTTTGTTTCTTCAGTTTTTCTTTGTTCTTATACTCCACAGATGAGTGAAATCATTTAATACTTGTCTTTCTCCACCTGGCTTATTTCACTGAGCATAATACCCTCTAGCTCCATCCTTGTTGTTCCAAGTGGTAGGATTTGTTTTCTTCTTATGGCTGAATAATATTCCATTGTGTATATGTACCACATCTTCTTTATCCATTCATCTACTGATGGACATTTAGGTTGCTTCCATTTCTTGGCTATTGTATATAGTGCTGCAGTAAACATGGGGGTGCATCTGTCTTTTTCAAACTGGGCTGCTGCATTCTTAGGGTAAATTCCTAGAAGTGGAATTCCTGGGTCAAATGGTATGTCTATTTTGAGCTTTTTGAGGAACCTCCATACTGCTTTCCACAGTGGTTAAACTAATTTAGATTCCCTCCAGCAGTGTAGGGAGGGTTCCCCTTTCTCCACAACCTCACCAACATTTGTTGCTGTTTGTCTTTTGGATGGTGGCGATCCTTACTGGTATGAGGTGATATCTCATTGTGGTTTTAATTTGCATTTCTCTGATGACTAGCAATGTGGAGCATCTTTCATGTGTCTGTTGGCCATCTGAATTTTTTCTTTGGAGAACTGTCTGTTCAGCTCCTCTGCCCACTTTTTAATTGGATTATTTGTTTTTTGTTTGTTGAGGTGTGTGAGCTCTTTATATATTTTGAATGTCAACCCTTTATCAGATCTGTCACAGTAGGGTACCTTATTGTTCTATTGATGGTATCCTTTGCTGTACAGAAGCTTTTCAGCTTGATATTGTCCCACTCGTTCATTTTTGCTTTTGTTTCCCTTGCCCAGGGAGATATGTTCATGAAGAAGTCGCTCATGTTTATGTCCAAGAGATTTTTGCCTATGTTTTTTTCTAAGAGTTTTTGGTCTCATGACTTACATTCAGGTCTTTGATCCATTTTGAATTTACTTTTGTGTATGGGGTTAGACAATGGTCCAGTTTCATTCTCTTACATGTAGCTGTCCACTTTTGCCAGCATCATCTGTCGAAGAGACTGTCATTTCCCCATTGTATGTCCATGGCTTGTTTATCATATATTAATTGACCATATATGTTTGGGTTGATGTCTGGAATTTCTATTCTGTTCCACTGGTCTGTGGCTCTGTTCTTATGCCAGTACCAAGTTGTCTTGATTACTGTGGCTTTGTAGTAGAGCTTGGAGTTGGGGAGCAAGATCCCCCCTACTTTATTCTTCCTTCTCAGGATTGCTTTGGCTATTCAGGGTCTTTGGTGTTTCCATATGAATTTTTGAACTATTTGCTCCAGTTCATTGAAGAATGTTATTGGTAATTTGATAGGGATTGCATCAAATCTGTATATTGCTTTGAGCAGGATGGCCATTTTGACAATATTAATTCTTCCTAGCCAAGAGCATGGGGTGAGTTTCTATTTGCTAGTGTCGTCTTTAATTTCTCTAAGAGTGTCTTATAGTTTTCAGGGTATAGGTCTTTCACTTCCTTGGTTAGGATTATTCTGAGGTATTTTATTCTTTTTGATGCAATTGTGAATGGAATTTTTTTCCTGTTTTCTCTTTCTGCTAGCTCATCATTAGTGTATAGGAAAGCCACAGATTTCTGTATGTTAATTTTGAATCCTGCAATTTTGCTGTATTCTAATATCAGTTCTAGTAGTTTTGGAGTGGAGTCTTTAGGGTTTTTTATGTACAATATCATGTCATCTGCAAATAGTGACAGTTTAACTTCTTCTTTACCAATTTGGATTCCTTGTATTTATTTGGTTTGTCTAATTGCCATGGCTAGGACCTCCAGTACTATGTTGAATAACAGTGGGGAGAGTGGGCATCCCTGTCTTCTTCCCAATCCCAGAGGAAAAGCTTTCAACTTCTCGCTGTTCAGTATGATGTTGGCTGTGGGCTTATCATATATGGCTTTTATTATGTTGAGGTACTTGCCCTGTATACCCATTTTGCTGAGTGTTTTTATCATGAATGAATGTTGAATTTTGTTGAATGCTCTTTTAGCATCTATGAAGATGATCGTGTGGTTTTTGTCTTTCTTTTTGTTTATGTGGTGGATGATGTTGATGGATTTTCGAACATGGTAACATCCTTGCATCCCTGGGATGAATCCCACTTGGTCATGGTGTATGATCCTCATGATGTATTTTTGAATTTGTTTTGCTAATATTTTGTTGAGTATTTTTGCATCTATGTTCATCAGGGATATTGGTCTGTAATTTTCTTTTTTGGTGGGGTCTTTGCCTGGTTTTGGTATTAGGATAATGTTGGCTTCATAGAATGAGTTTGGAAGTATTCCCTCCTTTTCTATTTTTTGGAAAACTTTAAGGAGAATGGGTATTGTGTCTTCTCTGTATGTCTAATAAAATTCTGTGGTAAATCCATCTGACCCGGGGGTTTTCTTCCTGAGTAGTTTTTTGATTACCGCTTCAATTTCTTTGCTGGTGATTGGTTTGTTTAGATTTTGTGTTTCTTCCTTGGTCAGTCTTGGAAGGTTGTATTTTTCTAAGAAGTTGTCCATTTCTTCTAGGTTTTCCAGTTTATTAGCATATAGGTTTTCATAGTATTCTCTAATGGTTCTTTGTATTTCTATGGGGTCCATTGTGATTTTTCCTTTCTCGTTTCTGATTCTGTTGATGTGTGTTGATTCTCTTTTTCTCTTAATAAGTCTGGCTAGAGGCTCATCTATTTTGTTTATTTTCTCAAAGAACCTGCTCATGGTTTCATTGATTTTTTCTATTGTTTTATTATCTTCTATATT